TTTTTTTTTTTTTTTTTTTTTCTCATTAAAACTCTGATCTGTTCTGAGTGGACATCTGTGAGAGATGAGGGATATATGTTCAGAAAAATTACTTTAGTTTAGGGTGCCTCTCCCCCCCCTTTTTTTTTCTCCCCAAATATTGGCCTACTTTTCTATGTAAATTGACGGTCATGTTTCCTAAATTACCTAGTTCTCTGAAACAATAGGAGTAACATAGATCTTGTCAGCCTGAGCATTATGCATCTTGTCCCTGATCTGAAAAGGAAATATTTCTTCTGTTGTTTGATAGGTTAAAAGATTTATGACCTTCAAGGATTCACCTTTATAGATGCTTTTTAGAAGGGAGTGAAATCCAAACAGTGACTGAAGACAACAGGTTTTGTTCCCCAGTTTCTTATCCCATATTTGTTTGGGAGCGCAGCTTTTCCCTTTAATTCTCCCCCATYATGGAAAGCTGATACTTAGCTGTTTTTTTTGCTCAGCAACCAGAGATTGGTGTGGAATGTTGTATGCATGGATCCTGYTGTTATCTACTTAATATCAGTATGAATATTCAAGTGTGATGCATGGTCTGTACCACCTTTTTTTATTCAGTATCTGAAAGTACTTAGGTGCATTGGTGATGTATGTGTGGGCACCAAATCCTAGATTTTTAAGGAACAGTTACTTAACCAGTGAGTGAAGGAACACGGAGAAAGAAAGTAAGTTTCCAGCTTAGAACACAAACAGAGTCTACAAGGCTGGAGAGTCTCCCAGACCCRTGGCCAAGGGCTTGGGCCTAGATGACCAGGGCTGCCGTTCTTTTCTTTAAATGAAGTAAAAGAGACCTTGAAGGCTCTGTGCAAGGCTCTGAAGCTGCCCTCCCAAGGTTACCGAGCTGCAGCTGGGGTTAATGCCTGAGTTACTCCTATCTGGGACTATTAATTTATCAGTCAGTGTGACAACTTGTGGGAAATGTGTCAGTCACTGTGATTGCAGCCCATTAAAAGTTAAGACATTTTCAACTCCCTCATGCAACTTACCCATGTTAATCAGAAGAGCTACTCATGGCAGAATTTAATATAAAATTGAAATGTAGTAATGAATTCTTTGAGCTCATCTAGGCCTCATGCCATTGCAGCGCAGAGCATGTTCTTTTGTGGTGCCTTTGTGGAGGGCCGGGGATGAAGTACAGGGTTGACCAAAATTCTTGCCCTCCTCCTCCTGTACCGTTTCTGGTGCAAGTTCCCYGTTTTGTATGGCAGGTCCTTGGTAAATCACTCCCACTGTCCATTCAGCATACCTTGCATTCAAGCAGCACAGTCKGACTACAGTAAGGCCAGGATAAGGCCTTAACTTAAGAGGCCAATCATGATTTAAAGATGATAGTGGAGATGCATGATTTATTGCAATTATTCTGATGTCCCCAGAGAAGCTAAATCTACTTCCATGGGACTGAAACTGTCCCACTATACTTACTCTTTTTTGGAGTGATAATATTACTTATAAACAAATTACTTTCTCATAGAAAAGTATTTTAATGTCAAGTGCACTGTTTTTGTAGTGCTCACAGTGGATAAAACCTCTGTTAACACAACATACTGAACTGTCATAAACAGTTCTCTGCAATTTTCTCCATCCATGTGTGGTGTTCAGTTTAAAATAGAATATGAAGAGCAAGGAAGTGGGGAAGATTTTGAAAAGAAATGTTTGTTGTATATATGTTCTTCAAGAGAATTTTTTTTTCTCTTTATAGTGGCATCTCTACGGCTGTTTGATTTTAGTGAAGTTCTAAAATGAAACATGTTATAAAGTAGCTTGTAGAGAAATGAAAACACCTGAGATTATCCAAGTAAAGTCTTAGAATGGCTTGTAACCTCATCRCACCTTTTGAACCTAACAAGTAATCTGTAATTTGTTTTTCCTCCAAGTCTTCAAATTCCATAGTCTTCTATTTCAATGGTCTTCTACTCCTCATTTATATCACACTTGGRAGTAAGACAGAACCTCTTAGCTATGTGGATTGAGGCACAAATGAACCTCCAACTGGCCTCTAACTCTCTATTTCTATTTGTTTTTCTAAGTCTACATTGCAGTTATTTCTGTCATGTTCAAATTTGTTCTGTCATGTTCAAAACCTCTGTAGTAGAGGTATGGGGAGAAAGGTGATAGATCCTTGATTCATGAGCCACATAAGCACATGGGTGTGAGTGGGCCAAGAGCATTGGTTTAATTTTAAGTAGGCCCTTCCTGCATGTTTTTACTTGTTTGAAGGCACAGAGTTAGGAGTTTTAATGGTACTTCATTTAAAATCCTTYACTCTTTGGGAATTTTGAATCAATTTGGGCTCTGTGGGTTTGTGCTCAGCAAAAGGGAAGAGATCTTGTGCACCAGAACCTTAAACTCTCCTTTTCTGTTCCCAAACACCAARTCTGCTTGGAACCCAGCCTAGTGTTTCCTACAGGGTAGTTTTCCATCATTGTTCAGTATCGAATTTGGAGTCCRTAGCACAGGGATGGGTACTGTGCTAACTAGTCCTCTGTCGAGCAGTTTTGACCAAATCTGCATTGCTGCTGTATTTGAGGCTCACAGTTAATGCTGAAGTKGCAGCTTTTTCCCTAACTGGATTCATAGTGAACCCTCAGAGGTCAGAAGCCCTTGGCAGCTTAGGAAGAGCCACGTTTGCCAAGCCTGAGCGCCTGAGTTTGGCCGTCACACAAAAACTGTGTTCTATAGTTCTGATCCTGTCAGCAAGATGCTGTCCTTCCACTCCCACTGTGACAGGGAAGAGTTCCCAAAAGTGCTGAGTTACCTTCCTGTGCCTGCACTTGTCCTGGTTTTCTGCATAGCCTTCAGAGCCGCTTGGCCGTCAGCGGGAATCACAGTCGCGTGTGACTGCACGTGGAATCCCTCTTTGTCCACAGGAAATCCAACCACCATTTAAAATGGAACTTCTGCAGGCTGATGGAGCCCAGGTTAGCATTGCTACCACTTCTACGTGATTGCTCTGTAGACTCCTAAGGAAAAAGGTGCTTCCCTCCCCTCTGCTCCTTCCTTGCTCCTAATGATCACATGGCAAAGCCGGTTGGCTTTGTATGTGTTGTAAGCGTTCACGTGGGCCTCAAGAGTCATCTCATATGTAGGGATTTTCTGAAAATGAAGACCTGCCTAATTCTTAATCGATGTCTTCATCTGATTCTGCAGAATAAAAGTGAACAAATAGCTCTTTTGCCCAACTGAGATTTATGCTCCTAAATGGTGATARTAATTTTTGCTTACAAATGGTGAACTGAATTTGAGTGTTGACCATTTTCTTAGCCTCATGGGCCATCAGCCAAGCACACTTTCTTTACAGTAGTGGTATAACAGATACTGGGAATATTCAGATTCCCCTCTAGTCAGTGTGTGTCTTTGGGCTGTAACTCTAAATTAAAAAAGCACTGATGTTGTGTTGTAGTACAACAGCCAAATGTGGGAGAGGCATCACAGGCTGGTAGTATTTGAATTCCTGTTAGAACAATGACGTGGAAGGTCATTGTTCTTACAGACTTATCTTGTTATACTCAAAATTGCAAATGATCTGTAACTCAGTCAAGTGCTTTGATATTAACATGTGGTGTGTAATTAATGTAACTAATGCAAAAAAATAAAATCATATACAGAGAATTCAACCAAAGTAGCCACAAAGTTTGAGAAAACTGGGAAAAGGCAAAATACTCCATAACTTTTTTATACTACTGGCTGCCCCTTCAGTTTAAAGTATCTTTTTAACAAATTAGCATACAAATAATTTTGAATAAATGTATTAATAAAATAAGCTGAAAAAAGTATGCCAAAATATAAACATTGAGTAGTATGCTTTTTGATGTTTTATAGCATTAAAATGAAGTAATCTAGCATTTTGAGTAATACTTATGACAGGTGTTTGGCTTGTTCGTGCATTCGTATGAATCTAGGACACTAGGAGAACAGTACATCTAAAAGGCTGTGCTGAAATATCTTGGAGAATATACAGCTTTTAGATGTAGAACTGTAGGTAGTTTGTGCTTTCATAAAAAAAACATACATACCTAATGCTGTATTGATATTAGGAGTCCTTAGTGTAAAAAACAGTCAATTGTATTGACGTTATTTGGGGCATCTGGTAATTATTTAAAGTTGCAGTTTATTAAAGCAAAGCATTTGACAAGTCTTTCATTTATAACATATGGGTAACTTTTCATAGATTTGGGTTTTTTGAGAGCTTCCACGTAGGAATTTCAATCAAAAGCTTTTAAGAAAATCCCTTGACATTAATATAAAACTTGAAAAACAAGTTCCTCCAGTAAAAACAAATTGAACTTGAAAAACTTGAAAAACAAATTCCTCCAAATTCCAAACTATAAGAAAGAATTAAAAAGGGCAACAAAAGTGATGATGCCTGTGACAGATTTTTTTTTTTCCTTTTTATAGGAAATAAGTGTAATGCAGACTCTACCTGCCAGAAAAGCAGCAGTTGCATAGCCCATAGGCAGGGCTCTACGACACGATTCAGTGTAGCCCAAGAGAGCCTGCAGCTGCTCCTCCCGGGCAGACCGGCTGCATCCCTGTTGGCCTGTGCCGAGCTCCTGCGCCTCGGGAAACACTCAGCCCCAGAGCGTGCCAGACAGCACCATTGCAGCAGTCCTGTGACACAGCTGATGGCATCGAGGGCCCAAGAAAGTTCTCAGGCTTATTAAATTGACTAATACAGATATGGGCAGTGTCTTCCACTGAATCCACACTGATTAAAGACATTTTTGCTAATAGAAATTTATCAGTTTTTGAAAAGCAAACTGTAGTACTTCTCTGTAGTTAATGCATCTTCTTTTTATAGCTGTAGCTGATATAGCTTCTTATTACAGTCGTGCTTCTAACCTTTAAGTAACATAGTTTAATTTTATTAGCTCTGTTAAGCTTTAGGTGCACATATACGTATGTATTTGTTGTCGTCTCTTGGTTTATTTTCTTTTCTGTCTCATTTATTTTCTTTTCAGTGGGATGCCATAACTGAGATGGATGAACACAATCGTCCCATTCATACTTACCAGGTATGTAACGTGATGGAACCGAACCAGAACAACTGGCTTCGGACAAACTGGATCTCCCGTGATGCTGCACAGAAAATTTATGTGGAAATGAAGTTTACCCTGAGGGACTGCAACAGTATTCCATGGGTGTTGGGAACCTGCAAGGAAACTTTTAACCTCTACTACATGGAATCAGATGAATCTCATGGAGTAAAATTCAAGCCAAACCAGTATACTAAAATTGATACTATTGCAGCTGATGAGAGCTTTACCCAGATGGACTTGGGCGACCGCATTCTTAAACTGAACACAGAAGTTCGTGAGGTTGGGCCAATAAACAAGAAAGGATTTTATCTTGCTTTTCAGGACATTGGAGCATGCATTGCTTTGGTCTCAGTCCGTGTTTATTACAAGAAGTGCCCTTTCACAGTCCGTAACTTGGCTATGTTTCCTGATACTATTCCAAGGGTTGATTCTTCCTCTTTGGTGGAAGTGCGGGGCTCCTGTGTGAAGAGCGCTGAGGAACGGGATACTCCAAAATTGTACTGTGGAGCGGATGGGGATTGGCTTGTGCCTCTTGGGCGATGCATCTGCACTGTAGGATATGAAGAACTGGATGGCTCCTGCCATGGTAAGTAAGCAGCCTTTAATAGAAAGCAAATTATGATGTTATGTGAACAGCAAGTAGCATGATTGTATATGGGAAACAGTGCATCACACTGCTAAGGAATGGTTGAAAGCAGAAATAAGAAAGGTCATTTTCAGTCATGATAAGTTGGTTTGTAAGAAAACCTATAGTTGCTAAAGGCGACCTTTGTTTTGTCTGTCTATAGATACCTGCACTGTAACTGTCTATAGTTATAGCAATGCTAGTGGTGTTGACTCCTCTATTCTAGTGCAGGTGTGCACTTCAGGGCAGTGAGGATGGTGATACTCTGTGACGGAGAGGCATAGAGGCACATGCCTCTGACCTGCCTAAAACACATCTTGGGAGGACATTGGAAGTGACTGAAAAAGAATGCCTCTTTTTCTCCATATTCCTATAAAGAGAATGTAGTCAGTTCAGTTGAACAGATTTTTCCATTTTTCCTGTATACACAGTCAGAGGAGATGACTCAACCTGAAGAGGCAATGCCATGTGTATGCTGCTGTAACAGAGGGCTTTAAGTGCCCCCATGGTTAACATGCATTTTAATGTAGTAGAAGATCAGTAGGAATGAAGTTGAATTGTAGAAGTTTGAGTCTGTTCAGAATTAATGCAGAAGTTTAAAATCAGATGTATTAAGTGATTCATCACAATGCTAGTTATACAGCATTACTTACACTGCCATTTCATAGAGAACAATGCAAGAATATGGCAAGCTATGTTATGAAATAAGCGTTAGAAGATCAAAGTTAGTTGCTGAATGTTGTTTGTTCTTATATCTTAAAGAAATGTCTGCCTCAGGAAAGCTGTATTTTGTGATTTCTTTTGGAGACTCCACATTGTATGTCCATAGTATTGCACCTTGCCAGTTTGGTAGAGAATTAACGATGTTTCAAATCAGGGCAGTAACTTGAAGCGGACTACAAACCAGATATGTTTCCTTCACTTATCAGGAACACATCCATGGGTAGGATGGATGCAAGAGCAAAAAGCACGTCTTCTGCAGAACCCACACATTTCATTAACCCTGCTTGTGCCACTTATTAATGCACAGCTGGGGAAATTCAGAGTACTTCAACTTCTGAGCTGTATGGACCATGAATACATAGGTAAAATATCACAAACCCCGTGCTATGCCCGGGTGAACATCTGAGCTTTTGCGGATTCAATTTGACACTAATATCTGTAGAGAGTGTGCCTGCTAAGGCTTATTTTCCACCTGTCAGGACAGGTAACATTTATTTAATCACAAAAGGCATGCAGCTTCTTGTACTGCAAAGTTTCCTGGTAGTTAATTCTTTTGTCAGCTTCAGAAATCACAAGTGCACTAAAGAACAAATGTCTACCTTTATATTCTTTTACTTTTTGATTTTATGTAATGGGCTTATGTAGATCTGGGAAGAAGAGKTGTCCTCTATAACTGTGGCTTGTAAAGAAAGCTTTGCTAGCCGCCGAGGTCTGCTTTGTTTCAACATTTGACTTGTAGCAAAAAGGCAAAATAAAGGTCCAGGTACTTAAATTACATAAATGACATTGCTATTGTCTACATATTTTGGTCAAGACAACACATTTTTGGTGTGCCATCGTCACAATGCTGTCACAATGCATTGGAGGTATTCAAGGACACCCTGTGCTCAGACTCTGTGACATACTGAATAGGCTGCAGAAGTAAGAGAAAAGACAAGTTTCATGGTTACTGCCTCCAAATAGGAACTAAGCCAAACTGCTTAGTAATTTCTTCTCTTCTACATCAAAATAACTCTCAAAATAGCAATATTTTGTTCTGAATCTGTTCTAGCAGGTAATTGGGTGGTGAGGAGGGTATAGCCTAGTACTTGAGTATTTTTTCCTATTTGCAAATGCAGTAAAATTTTAAACTATTCACAAGCTTGTGGCTCAGTGGGGAATAATAAGCTCTTTATGACAAATATAGCTTATCTGTCACAGGTTTTTAAAAATACATTTCTGTGATGATATTTGTGGAATTAAGCACTCTCTTGTCATGAAGTACCAAACTGCATAAAGAACGATGTAGTGTGCTACTTGCTTACAATTTTACAAAGCAGCGAAAAGAGGATAAGAAAGTTTTTGATCAGTTTTACCACTGCAGTTAAATTGTGGGACAGGAAGTAAAGTAAATCTTTATAAAGATTTACTTTAAAGATATAAAGAATATAAAGCAACCAAACTGGCAATGTTTGTCATCTCAAGATTTGTTGGTTCTGACTGCATTTCCGAAGGCTTGCGACAGTTTCTTCACCTACTCTTTGACTTACTGGTTTTATCTATCCACTCTTGTCTGCTTTTAAGAACATCATTTAAGAATGAAAGTTTGAGCAGAAGAATTGGCAACTGGATTATAATACCAATACAAATACAAATGTGTCTAGAGCAAGTCAGAGACCCACTGATGGAGAATTCTTCATGAAGTCAATGGCAAAAGCCACAGACCTTTGGGATTATTCATTTATTGTGGAAGAATTTAAATTGAAAAAATACCRTTTTCTCCAAGTTAATTGTGCAACTCAACCTGCTCCTTTTTGATTCAAATCTGTTTTTGAGATAGCACCAGCGTTCCCTGCTTCCTTTGGGTCTTTGAGCATTTGTAAATAAGTTACTGCAGATGATCTGGCAGCACAAGCAGTAAATAGGAGCTGCTGGCCTCAATAAATCACTGGTACCAGTCCCATTCACATACGAGCTAATGACAACATAAAAGAGGGAGATATGCACAGGATTTTGATGCACATGAGTTGTAATTATGAAGTTCAAAGTGAGATTTTCTTAGGATTTTGCTTCAAGACAAAAGTCATGCTGGATTTAACATATTCATAATGTGCAGGGTACATCAGGGGTTTCTTGCACAAGAGGAAACAACCTTGGCTTGGAAGAGAGAGTTAATTTTGGGTTGTGAGGAAAGGGAAGATATAAATCATACTGGCTTTCGTTGATTGCAAAAGGAATAAGTATATATTTGACAGGCATCTGCACTGTAATACGGATAAATAGATATGGATTAGGAATTAGGAATTAGCCAATTAGGAATTGGCTCGATGGCAGGGTGCAGAGAGTGGTTGTCAATGGTGCGGAGTCCAGCTGGAGGCCTGTACTTAGTGGTGTCCCCCAGGGGTCAGTTCTCGGTCCGGTCCTGTTCAACTTATTCATTAACGACCTGGATGAAGGGCTGGAGTGCTCCCTCAGCAAGTTTGCTGACGATACCAAACTGGG